CAATTTGTGGACGTCACTGAAACATGTTATGATCGCTTTTAGACGTGGTTCGTTTTAGCATTTTTTTCGTAGTTCATCAGCATTACTTTAGGAATGAAAAGAGACTTAATCTGCCCTTTTAAGAATCTGAAGTTTGCATAAGATTTATTTTGCAATGTTTCATTACTTTATTTCATCTAAATATATTAATGTAAGGTAGATTCATCTTATGAAATAAAATCCAAATTGGCTAGCTGCCAAATTCGAAGTTGTTAACTGCACAATCACATGAGATTCCAGCCTTTCTTTCAGGTAATTTGGTAAAGATGCTATCTGTAAGGCATTTGAAAATACTGACTTCATGTTTGAAATTGAATCAAGCAATGACTGATATAAATAATATTGCTTATATTAAAAGTAAATGTAACACACTGTGAATCTTCCCATTGTTCTGGCACTATCTGCTTACTTCAACTGCCTTCAGCGAGTGAAGTTGCATTGCTGTGAGCTCCTGTATGGAAGCCTCTGAATTGAGGAGAAATCATCATGAAAATGCAGAATTTGTACTTATTTTGTTTGTGAATATGCTCTACAAGAAGACACCAAAATTTTGGATACCTCATTTAGAAAATATCAGATGCAAATGCTACAATGCTAATTGTGAATATATGTTCATGAAATAGTGTTCTGTTTTGGTGTTTTATGTGTTTCTGGTAATTAAAAAGTTATTTGGTAGTGTTCTCCAATCTTCTGTGGTTCCAGCAGTGTAATATTTGGATACTCTGATTAGTGCTGTGCTGTGGTTATAACGTCCTAAGTACTATATCGTATATCATTCATATTAATCGATTATTGTGTTCATAAAGGAAGGTTAGTACTCAGAATTAATTCATTTAAAATCAGAAATAACAAACAACTCTGGTTTTGCTGAAAATGCAATCAATGCAGAAGCAGCAACAATTCAAGCTGTTATGGTATGTTCATTATTTTCACAATACAAAGAAATTACTGGACTGGTACCAGTACTTAATATGACTGCTGAAGGTGAATTAGATATATGTAATAGCAAGAAGCAATACATTAAAATTAATAATAATGCACATTTTATAAGTATGTTGTCTTTTGTAAAGTATGCAGAAAAGGTTAATGATTTTAAAAAGTATGAAATGTATGATCAAAAAATAGTGTTAAGGAAACATTAGGATTACTATGAATATTGTAATCTATAACTCTGCGATATTTAAGTGTGTAATATTAAAAAACACTAAATTTTTTTTATTGATTGCAAATTGCAAATATTACTTTTTGTTTGGTATCTATTCATCCAAACGCAGTGCAATTCGCGTTTTTTTAAATATTGCTGTTATAGACTTACAGTCCATTAGATTATCTCAAATGAATGTTGGAAATTAGGTTTTATTCTTTATTTAAACTTAAGTAATTCTATTGTCGTTATGTATGTTTATTAGATTATCTCAATAAATGAATGTTGGAAATTAGGTTTTATTTTTTATTAAATTTAAGTATATCTATTTCTTTGCTACTTTTATGTGCTGTGATAACAAAGAATTCATAATAATAGAAACAAAAAGTTTCATCATGTGCTATTTAACGAAGAGTTTACTTTAACGTACTTAGCTTACTATCGTATACTACATTATTTAAAATATTTCTGTCCAGTAGTAACAAAAGGAAAGTTATTATAAAAAGTGCATGAAATAATCATTGTAATCTACCACAATTCTAAAATGTAGAAACTAAAGTAAATACATTAACGTATGATCGAAAGAAATGGTGTTACGAAACATCAGCATTACTAGTAAATACTGCAATCCATGATTATTGCACTTTGAATTGCTTACTATTTAAAAAACACAAATAATTTTTTATTAATTGGAAATTTTAATTCTGTTATTTCCTTCTGATATTTATGCTTTCAAACACCACTAGGTCATGTTTTTTCTTAAATAGTGCTGTCATGTATGTCGTTTGTTAGGTTATTATTTCATTTTAGATATGAATATGGGAAGTTATTAGATTTAGGTATATTTTTGTATGAAATATTTTTGATCACATTTATTAACTATACAGTCTTTCATTTGTATATCTTGGAGATATAGAAGTTAATGGTTATATTTTTTGCTATGAAACACAAATAAATTTATACTTGAGTTCAATTAAAGTACTGATTATTTTACCTTAAGAACTGCTTCCTAATTTATCATGACAGGGGCAATTTTCAATGTCTGAGATTTAACAGGAATAAATGTAATAATGCTGTTATAATCAGAAACGCTCTCTTTTTTTACTGACATGTATGTCTTTACATTTATATATGTCTGTTTGAGTTTTATTTACTTAAAACCTACTTTTAATGTTATATATTTAGAATAACCACTTTCATAATTACTCGCATTTACATCCTAAAGGATTAAGGGAAAAAATGATGAAATCTTAAATAATCGTGACTTCAAATTTAAGTTATTTAAAAAATATAGTTTAAAGTACTGAAAATAATTAAGGCTATTATTAATTATGCATATTTAGTGTAAAGAGAAATTTTAAAAATGTAGTTTAAAGTACTGAAAATAATTAAAGCTGTTATTAATTATGCATATTTACTCTAAAGAGAAGAAATTGTATTGTCTTCTGTTTTTCAGGAAATAAAATATTTAAACTTTAGAAAAATACAATGAATACAAAATTTAAAAAAAAAGAAGAAAAATATATTAATTATTAAGCTTTTTATTTCTGCATAAATAAATATGTAACACAAGGACATAATAACAACGTTTTTACAACTGTTGCAAAAAAGGTGGAATTTTGCATCATTTAGACGTCGTGATACGATGCTTTTAGAACCAAAATATAACCTGCAAAAGACTCAATAGCTATGTCTATGCGACTCAAACCTCATCTGCAAAGATGTAATAAAGACATCTTTGCAATGGTTGCAAAACAAAGAACTTTCACGGACATCTGGCCATCTTAAAGACGACATATTGCAACATGACTGGTGACCAGTTTGGAACATCATAGCGACGTTGCCATGCTACTTGGATAGGTAACTAAAGAGTTTTCACTTGAAGTAACAAAACCTTTCATTGCTTGTTTACCATTTTTGAACTCCGATAATTTCATCTTAAAATAGTCTTCAGATTTATCCTTTATACTGGCATGCTTAGATTCAAGATGTCTTTTACGAAATGTTGGTTACATACTTTGATTGGAAAATAGTTCACCGCAAGTACATTGAGGTTGAGGGTCGATTTCATTTTCATTCCTAGTAAACCCAAATTATAAATAGCTTTCATTACACTTTCTATAAACATTTTTTCCCCTTTTCAATATTTTTAGCACTAGTAGATTGTCCTGGATCTATCACCTGTGATTCATCACTTTTCTGCCTAATCAAACCTAGCTATTTTTCCATTTTGAAAAATCTAGGTTTGTTTTATTATTTTTCCACAAAAATTAAATGCACAATATATTACAAGTTGTTCAGAAACAGATTACGATATTTTCAAATCGTGTGGAAAAATAAGGAATACATATCAACAAGAAGACAAAATACCTGCTGTTAGAGACGCAAATCGATTCAAATAATTGATGCTAATTGAAAATAGAGCAGTATACGCCCAGAAATAATAGCGACGTAACCTATAGACATGATAATAAATCGATCAACTTCAAAAGAATTAATGAGATATTTTAAACTTTTTACAGGAACTTATTTTTATTTCCTATTAAATGTAACATTATTACTCCTTTTAAAGATGTTATTGGTGACAAATTTTGTTATGTCTATGGCTAAAAGAATATTTGTGAAAATAAAAATTGATTATTTTGCTAAATTCTTATCAGCAGCTATTGACCTTGAACAAAGCTCAGATCGCATAAATTTGCGAGTGTTAGAGAAAAAATTTAAAGAGGGTGTTGGGGTACTTAAGGTTTTGAATTTAATAGTTAAAATATTTTGTTTCTTTGCATACCACCTATTTTTCTTTTGCATACCACCAGTTGAGAATCGCTGCCATAAATTAATCTTAGAAATAAGAAAAGATTTTTTTTGGGGGGACCTCTTTTTGAACTGGGTAGACATGTGGCATGCACCTCTCTTGCACTAAAATTATTTTGAACAATTATTTATTTTAATGAACATGTTATATAAGTGTGGAATATTTTTTCTCATAGCCTATAAACAACTGAAAAGTATCCATTGTCATATATGGTATTCATTTATGCTAAACATATGTGTATTAGTTCCCTACTATACCAAGCTTTTTAACAATTCATTCTTAATGTGATTATACCATTTTGCAAAAAACAGCCTTTTTGTTTACTTATACACTCACTTTTTTTTTTTTGATTTCGTTATCTATTACTACTGTAATTAAGTTAAAAGATTATTAGTAAGAAATTTTAAGAAGAGCATTTCTTTTGATTGATTATTAAAAAAGAAATTTTACTCACATTTTATCACTATGACTATGAGTAAGTTGTACCCTATTCTGACTTCTTATAAAGCAGTTAGACAATTCTACCCCCCACCCCAGATTTTTGTAACTCGTAATACAGGAAAATAAATAATTTGAATGTGTAAAGTTAATAAAAGTATAAGAAGAATGATGAGCTTTTTATGTCTTATTGTTTAACCACTATACTATCTAGTACTTACATGGGAATGTAAAGTCTTCTTGCAACTGGAAAGTTTTAGAAGGCCGGCATGATTAAAATTATTAATAAAGAAGTTAATTTAATTGTAAAAATTAAACATATAGTTCCACATTCATTTTAAGGGACTATAACATAAATTGAAAATTTGTTTTAAGCAGGCAGAAGTTCTTTAGGAGCAAAGGAATCTTAGTCTGAGCATTTTTTTAGATTTGCAGTTTATGTCAAAATTGTGTATGAATGTATTAGAACATCAGATAGTTGTGAAATTCTGTAGGCAGTTTGATCAAATGGAGTCATTAATTAGCAGTACAAATCATTAATATATTTTATAATTTTTTGTGCAGAAAACATAATTGATATTTCAAGTTCAAGTTCTGGTAATGAAAGTGATAGTGATGATTCTGAGAAAAAGGATGATGATATAATGGTTCTAAGTGATGAAGGAGAAGCAGAAGGTGATGGAACAGCTGAAGATCCTAATAATAGTGGTGCACATACAAATGATTGTTTCAACTTGCCTGATGAAGAAGGGCGTGTTTTAGTCAATGTTGGTCACCCTCCTGAAGATCCAGATATATTTTTAGCTCCCCAAATTGCAAAAGTTATTAAGCCACACCAGGTAGGTTCATCATGCTGAAGATATGAGGTATTTTATAAGACTGTAATTCAAAAATTCATACATATATTGTACTCCTGTTATTACTGTTACATAGTATATTTTATGTTAAGTTAACAAACACTTTTTTGTATGAATAACTACTTTTTAACATCTCATTTTCTAGTTGTAAGTATGAAACTGGGAGACTGGATACTGTGAGAGGTATTCAAAGATCAGGTTCATTTAAGTGTTAAAACTGTTTTGTGTTTATGTTCAGTATGAAAGCTCATGTCATGAATGAAATTAATGAATGAAATTAATCCAAAACTGTTTCTTACCATAAACTACACTATCATTGCCCAAATGTGGAGAGGTACACTCTTTCATGGCTTAGTTTTGAGATGGCGCTGTGTCTTTAGCTAGATTTGTTCTTTGAAAAAAAAAAAAAATGTTTATTTGCAAACAATTTGGCAACTTTTTACTCAGGCTTTACTTGAGCCATATGAGCTTTCTTTGTGCATAAGTACTGTTCTTCAAAGAAGTAGCTTTCCAATTTATGAACCTAGTATAGGGAGAGCTTTCTTGTTGTATGTTGTCCTTTGGTTCTTCCCTTTTCTAAATTCCTGGTGCTTCTTGAAATACCATCAACTTACCAATAATTTACTGATATTGAAGAACTGAGCCATGCTTTCTTGCTTGGCAAGTGTGGGATACTGGTTATTGCAGAAGCAGTGGTCCAGTTTAATGAACCAGATTTGTGGATAATGATTCTCTCCTTTTTCTTTCCATCCCTCTGACTCTGTAGAACTTCTGTACTACACTGGAGCTTGTTGTCTTCAAGTTCAATTTGCAGACTTTTTCAATGTTTAATGCTGAAATCATCAAAATGCATATTTTTTAATAGTCTGAAACAATTATATTACAATATCAATATTGCATGTTTGAAGAACATTCTGTAAAACAAAGGAAACTTGATAACTATTATAATTTGAAAAGGCAGTATTTCTACATTTATTATTTTACATTTAATACTATATGTAGGTTGTAACATTTGTTTTACACACCTTGATAAAGTAAAAGTATATGTTGGAATTTAATATAATGAAATATTTGTTATAGTATAAAAGCGTTCTATGAAACCCTCTATCAGACCAAAGTATTAATGTAATGCTAAAAATTTGAAGAGAACTGGATTTTTACTAGACTAAATGTTATCATGATTTTTTTATATTGCATATCTTTTGCTCTCGGGAAGAAATATTAGAATTAAATATTTAATTTCTAAGGTTGAATTCCATATGCTGAAAATGACATTAATTTATACCAAGTAGTAACCTAGGTTTCCAAGAGGGAGCATGTGCTAGATGCATTGATGTGGTGGTGCATTAATGTAATTTTAAGGATATGGAATTTAGTGGTTACTATATTTACTTGAAAACAAGATCACCTGGTCTTGCTTTAGTAAATGAAATAGTGAAGTGATGTGAATGAGTTTAATTTTCATACTATATAAAATAATTACACTGTTTAAATACTAAATAAACCATGTACGTAATTACAATGTATGTAAGCTGTGTAAGAATTGTTTATAACAGCTATATCTTGTTGAGCAATTTCAGACTAAGCCTGCGTTCACTATACTTATCAGTGGTGTGACTAAAAACTAATAGGTAGCAATACACTTTGCTAATTTTTCTTCCTATACTATGCCATTCTGAAACATTATTTTTAATTAACTTGTTCACTTTTCATTTTAATTGAAATCGCTGTAGCTCTTGTCAAATATTCACGTACGCTTTTATTTCTTAATTAACTCTAGAATATATGGATAGTCTTAATTTTGGAATTAATACAGTAAGTTTTTAGCATATGGAGCATGTACAGTTCTGAAGATGTGAGAAATACATTAATAATAAATAAATGAAGAAAGAATAAGTTGTAAATCTCTAGGTTTGCGGGGGGGGAGGTATTGCTTTAAGCTACAGTGGAATTAATGCTTGTTGTCAAGAATGATGTTTTTGTTTTCTGTTATATGATACAGTGAATCCTGTTATATTGACTTCTTCCAAATGCAACCAGCATTTCTAAAAAGAAAAAAAAAAAAATTCTTGTGGGTTATATTTTTCCCTAAATTAAAACTCCCTAATGAAAATGAGATCATTAAATACTTTTCTTAGAAAACATCGGAAGTCTTAATTTCAGTCCAACCTAAAATTACACAAAAAAACTGCACACTGTTATAAACTACTGAAATTTAAAAAAGTATATCTCCGGCCCTTTTTTTCTTATTATAGAAAGTTTTTTATACGTTTCTAAATCATAGATTTTATTTCAGTGGAGTATAATTTACCTAACAGCGTGTAAATATGATCCAGTGCATTTTAAATTATTCATAATATTTCTAATTTTTTGTGCTATTTCTTCCATTCCTTAATTGTATAGTTGGCACAAGGGTAATCAATCATAATTCATTGTATGCTAAGGCAATTCATTTCACATGATGTTATTTTACAGTTAACAACTCAAGTGTCGATGTGTTTGGTTTTGAATTTAAATTTCACATACCTTAGCTAAATTTATCCCAGATTAAGATTTTTGTAAAACATAAAGTAATCATTAAATTTAGAAGTACACTTAAAGGTTAGCAAAAATGCTGCTTGCAGTCTTTCACAAAATGTTCGTAGGAAAGTATAATAAATGGCTGGCATTAATAAGATGAATGAATCTATTATTCAATGAAACTGACTTTTTTCTTTGAACTGATTGGTGAAAGAAAAAGACCAAAAAAGTAAATATCATTATCTGACTGTTTTATAAATTAGTAAACAAAATTTGCAATGAAATATTTTTAGTATTTAATGTTAATGTATCTCTGAAAATTAAATGTAAATTTTCACTTAAGAAGGTGTTCTTGCTGGGGGGTCACTATGTGCTATTTGTTTTTAAGATTGATATAGTAGATTGATAAATTATCAAATATAACAAAAGAAATCTTAAGTAAAAAATTCTACTTCAGTAACCCTTAAAGATGTAGTCACGTCTAAGGATAGATTAAAAATGATTAAATAAGCTGCTGTGATGGGGCAATAAATGCAAAAGCATTAGCTTGATCATTTGATCTTTATCCAATTAGATATATGTTACACTACATCAGAAGAGAAATAAGTATTTTGCTTTGAGCCTTAAATGAGATGCAACAAGATTATTGCATGTGTGGTAAACTTGCAGAAATGGGCAATTAAGCAAGTGCATTAGTTTGATAATTTAATCTTTATCCACTTATGTATATGTTGAACCACATCAAAAAAGAGAGAGGGACGTTTTGTCTTTGGAATCCTTAGATGCGATGCAACAAGGTACTACATGTGTGATATTTCTTCATGACTAAAGTATCTGGTATTAATGTTTTGAATAATTGACAGCAGGGAGAGGAGAATTCAAGTTTGCCAAGTGCTTAATGATAGTTTTATACCATATTAAAGTTGTTCTTTTCTGCTCTTATCAAAAGCATTTGCTCTGTATCTCATTTATTGAGATTCCCATAATCATATTTTGTATTTTTTCCAAGAGTTGTTCTGAGACACAGTGAATCATTATGTGTTTTACACTTGTACCAGTTTTTGTATTTCTATGATGTTTGCTGTATAACTTTCCCTTATAAACTGTTCACTCTTTAACTTTTGGAGGAAGTGTTAAAGCACCTGAAAAGCTAAATAAATATGTCATGTTACAATATTTATGAGGTGCTGAAATTTGATTTTTAAACAGTATATTAAATTTTCCAAGTGCTTGCAACTTGCACTAATAAAGCTGTCATGTAAATTTTATAACCATTGTGCTTTAAATGCATTTTTTTTTCAATTATATGATAGACAGTTGAACTCTGTTATAATGAACTTCAAGAAACCAGAAGTTTGGTTCTCTGTAAATTATTCGATAAGGAAAATGGGCTGTCTCACAAAAATGGGCTAAGAGAAAAAACTGATTGACGTTGTCCCACCCCCCTCTCAGAAAAAACTGTAAAACCACAAACTCATGATATTCAAAATCCCTTTTCCTGAATAGTGAAAATTTTTATCATGGCATTAATCTTGAATGGAATTCAGTCTGGATCATAATCAAAGAATTGAATGAAATCAAAGAACACATTTTCATTTTTGTGTTCAGTGGGCACCTTATGCTGTCCCATTATATGCTTATTGTGTCCTTATTCTCGTAGAGTTGGTATCACAGCTGTCTCGCATAGCTTGATAAAATAATGTAAAAGTATTTTCCTTAACTGGTGGCGTGTGAATCTTAATTTCTTTAAGTAGATGATTTTTTTGGCATTAAAATATGCAAAAATTCTGAGAATTTCACAAAAATTCAATTGAAAATAATCATAAGTTCATTATTATATTCAGATTTCATAGTCTTGGAGGTTCACTGTAACAAAGTACAGTGACATTAAAAAATGTATAGTAAACAGGAAGGGACTGAAAGGCCTGGTCATTATAAGTTGAATTCATTATAGCGAGTTCTGCTATATAACAAAAAATTGTTTAGAAATTTTACTACAAGAAAAAATTAAAGCCTTGACTGGAAAATTAAGGTCTAGACATCTGCTATATTTATTAAAAGGAATTTCTAGCTCTTTTCACAAAGTATCATCAGCTACACACTTGGATGTCTCCTTTCTTTAAACAAATGTAGTGGGCAATATGTAATCTGAAATTTGTTATGTATTCAAAAATGCCTGTTATTTATTTATTATACATATAAGTAAACTGAAACTTACATGAGAGATAGCTTCTTCATTATTTGTCCACAAAAAAAGTTATTTTTTGCATCAGAAAGTACTTATTTTTCTCTAGATGCATATAAAAAAAGTCATATCATCACTGAGATATGCTGTGTTTCTGCTCTGTGTATAAGAATCTGAAACACATGTCCGAAAATGTCATGTTCCAGTTCTCCAGTGAGAATCAAGCACAAGTGCTGGTCGTCTGGCATATATTAAGAAATGAGTACAAAACAAGATA